CCCCTTTAAATTCATGATAATTAACGAATTTTTTTTCAATATTTCTAAAATATAGATTATTGTTTAGTTGACAGATTATATTCAAACTATAAATATTCAATGATCAAATTTTGACATTCGTTTTTATAAAATGGTATTTATTATTTTCTTATATTTCTTTCCTGGTTTTTCGTTTTAGAGTAATGTCAGTTTCCTTTCTGTATTCTTCTAATAATTACAAAATAATAGTAAGAGTTACATTTCATTCAATGAAGTTTTGTCGAAATATTTATGATGAAGAAAACGAAAATCTTCTAATTATAACGGATTTTTACTGAATATTCTTGCTTACGTGTAAATCTAATGTTTGCATTTTGTGTCATAAATCTTTCTAAAAGGTTTTTATGCTAAGTATTGTTTATTATTTATTATTGTTCACTTCATTGAATAGATATGACAATTGTTAATATTTTTGTCAATTTTATTTTAGATGTCTATTTAAAATATTTTAAGTAAGTCACTCTATTGTTATTATATTTATAGATAATATACTATTAGAAAAGTAATTATGATCATTTAAATTTATGAAATACATATAATAACTATTCGAAAATTATTAGAGAGATAGATGTTTAGAAACTATTTGGTTTATTCGATTTAATATGCAAGTAGAAAAATATTTGTTTTCTAAAAATTAATTTTTATATTATCATTTATAAGTTTTTATTTTTTCTACAGATAATTTTATGAAGCAAATTAAATTAATTACTTATTTTTTTATTTGCATATCGATTTAGTTTTGAAATAATATAAATTAGAAAAAAATACATCTTTTATTAGAAGTAGGAACTCTATTAAACTAAAGAGTATTTCTTAAATTTTGATCCCATTCTTATTATATTTTAAGGTAAAGAGATAGGGTCCGTATATTTCTGAGGAGAGTCGAATTTGCATGAACTCAAAAAAAGTACTCAATTGATAAAGAATCAAATTTTGGAATATTACACAATTTCATTTGCTTGTCTTTATTAGATCATATCTCTGTAAAGATAAAAGTAAACAGTCAAAAATCTTGAGGGTAAGTAGAGCCCACTTAAATCTACTATCCATAAACATTTCACAAATTCTCAAAATCGATTTTCAGATTCTTTAATGCTCAGTGTGGAGATTCGAACATTTTTATGAATAGTAGATTCAAATGGGCTCTACTTACCCTCAAGATTTTGGACTATTTGCTTTTGTCTTTACAGAGATATTATCTAATAAAGACAAGCGAAACAAATTTTGTAATATTCCAAAATTTGATTCTTTATCAATTGAGTACTTTTTCTGAGTTCATGCAAATTTGACTCATTTTATATTGAATAATAGCTTAGACATCGCTCTTCAGAAATATATGGATCCTATCTCTTTCCTTTAAAATATAATAAGAATAAAAACCAAAATAAAATGGAGCCAAAACATATCAAACATTCTGATGAACGAGGTGACATAGATTATGTGGAACATATTTTTCCGATATTTTTACTTAAAGAAGAAAGCAAGATAAATTCTATCAGCATCTTTTTCGAACACGCAATGGGCTTTATTATTGTAGAATATGCAATAAATTTTTTGCGCAAAGAAGTGCATATCTGAAGTATTTTTAAAAACCAAGAATATTATTTGGATTTATGGATACGATTATCAGTTTAAAAGTCAAGATTGTGAATTTATAATAGAATATTGGATAAGATTACAGAAAAATAAAATTGGAAAATAAATATAAGTGAAAAAGTACAATTAAAGGCGGAAAATTTTCATTGTCTGGCAATTCCATCAATAAGAATCTATTCTTTAATCGGATGATGAAAGTCTTCAAAATGAAAAGACAATGTTTAATTCATTTATTAGAAAAACTTCTTTTAAACCTTAACTTATTGAAATAAAAAGGAGAATTTTCTATGTTACGGATAGCAGTATTAAATTTCTCCATTGATCTATTATGTAAATTGAACAACACAGTTAATAAACAGTTCTATTTAAAAAAAAAACCATGTGAAATAAAATTCGAAAACATTGCAACAAGATTATCGGAGATAGAAATCGAGACTGATTTAATTTTACAATAAAGACTGTTAGATTCTCTTTCACCCAAAGAACTCTTACCCGCTATATGTTAATAGGCTGGAAGGAATCAAGAGAATCAGGGTCGGTATTAGCTTGCCTAGTGATGTTAGCGGTCCTACCTTAACTTGTGAATTGATATGATGAACAAGAATACATAGATTCGGATGATGAATATATTTTCAATGATGTAACGCAAGTGATCACAATAACAAAAAAATCAATATAATAATAATGAAGGAATATATCGACTGATCAGTATCAAAAAATCAGATCAACTGAATAGAAGAAAGCTTGTTCATAAAGCTGAACCGAAGAGAGAAAAGGCGAGAAGAAAAAAAATATATATGTATATGTGTGTCGGGACAACATCGAACCCTACTCTTAGGTCGCGTAAAGGAAAAATAAAAGAACGAAAAAGTTAGTGACAACGATGTAACATCTGTTGACGCTAACAAAGACTTGAATTTTTGGTGATCATTATTTCGATAGCTCTGATTTGGACGAGTTTTGCTTACGATAAGATTCGCTTTGATAATTAGATTTCTAGTCAATTGTGACAGTTGTTGCGAATCGATCGACTAAACATGCACTGAATTCAACTATAGAATAAGAATTTTTAGTTTAATTATTCATATATTTACAATAGGAATAAACAAAATTATGAAAAGTATAAGTGAATAGTTGATTTAATAATTCTTACTAATTAGAATAGCTAAACTTGGAATGAAAATTCTCGGGTTTTGTTTATACTTATTGGCGATGACTCAGAAAGTTTTGAAACATTTCTTTATTCAATGAATATGAGTACCGAATTGTATAGCTCACATCTATCGTTTCATTTGAGCTCTTCTATATGTTTTAAAATGAGAAATAATAATATCAATATCTGAGAAAGTGCGTCTATGAAGTTATTGTTATTGATGTATTAACAAGTCTTGATGTTATATTTTTGTTTTTTTTATACTTCTCTTATATAGTGTAATATCTGTCAATGTATCACTATCGATTATTGATTTAAGTAAGATTAACTAGTGAAAAATATTTCCAGAGATAACGAAAAGGAAATTCATTCATAAAAATCTAAACACTTGTCTTCTACATGAAGAATGTGTTCTAGAATTTAGAACACGCTTTTACAAACAAAAAGCAAAATCCTAAGTCTAAATGAATTCATTCTTTACTGTTTCACACTAGTACAGAATAGTTTCTTCTCACTTCAAAAATCGTTTTCTATGTCAAGAGAGTGTCCTAAGCTGCTTCATCAGCCAATTCTATTTCGAAACAGTCAAGAAAGAATCCTAGTCCCTGAATTTAACGTCAATTTTCATTCAGAAATGTCTATGCTGAAGCATAGTAGCCTATAAATGGAACCACCAATGGTGAAGTCTTGAATCAACCATACTTAAAAAAATGATTATTGAATAACGGTCTGAGATCTAAAAAACAGTCAGCCTTTCAACGAACTATGTCTGGATTTCACTCCGAGAAATTTAATGATGAATTAAAGTTTAGGTGATAATGATCAAGAATGCTTTTCAAGGAAGCTAGAACAATTAAGAACGTATTCCAATCAGCATAGAATATGTTCTTAATAGTTCAATTTTGAAACGCTTTCCAATTTTCTTGAAAGGTTTTCATTTCTAAAAAGAAGAGGTCTTCAGTCTAGAGAACGCCTTCTTTCTCGTTGTTTGAAACATATTTTTCACTGGATAGTGTTTTCGTTATTATTCGTCAATGGAACACATCTACATGAGCAGTTCTAAAGGTAGATAAAGAAAAAAAATATTGCTTCATTTGTAAACTAACATATGAATTACATAACAAAACAATATTTAATCAAAGTATTCTTTCCTAAAAAATTGTTTAATCTACAAACGTTTCATTGCTGGTTTGGATAAAAAATTATTTCGTAATCATAAGTGACATAAAGACGAAAACATATTGTCAAAAAAATCAGATACATACCATCCATATGATTTTTCTATTAGAAATCGCTTTCGCTAATAAGAGTTCGAAGAAGATAACTATACTAAGTAGTTACATTAGTCAGTTAATTATGTAGCTCACATGTATCGCAGTTGCTTATTCGGTCGACTCACTTTTTTTTATATTGTCTCTCATACAAGCATGTAACACAGATTGATTCGTCTTAACTTGAATAGATTCTAAATATTGTATTGGATCAATCTGTGGATTTGATATTTACACTGGTCCAAATAGTTTAGAACTTCGTCAACTAAAAGAAGTCTTAACTAATACTTTCATTAGTTTACATATAATTGGAAAACACGTTGTGGGTGTGATGGGGTGTGGGTATGATTGATGGTTACAACGTAGACATTCAAAGCCACCTAAAGTTCTAGCATCACTCACACTCCGTGACAGTAGAATTTCATGGGTGTCAGAGAGCATATGAAAGCAATGCATATAGTCACATGTTGTCAACAAATGGCATTTTAGTCAATTTTCTCGTAAATTATAAACGCATTTGGATGCAAAATCAAAGCTGTCCGCTTTGAAATGCGTTTGATGTTTAGATGTACACTTACCACTAAACAGTAAATAGTTAGCGGTAAAAATAATCAGACAACAACAAATATCCAATAATTATGATATTCACTTGTGCGTGTTGTATTGATTTTGTTTTGATGATTGCAATATTTACCATTTACCGAGGAAGTGGAAGTAGTAAATGTGACACTACGAGTTTGATTTATGTTAAACGCTGTCTTAATCTTGGAAAGAAAAAGTAGATACTTTAGTTATATTTCATTTATTTTTAGTATTCTAATTCGATGGCCGAGTGCACAGACGTAAATACAATATTTCCTCATATACCATTTAATAATTCGAAAAGTTTTCATTCAACATCAGAAGGTAAAGTTTGGACAAGATTATTAATTCATCTATGTTGGTGGTTACATGACATGTATGAAATCAAAGGTACTGATACAAATGCAAAATTCGAATATATTGAAGAGAAGATCAGTCAATGTCAAAGTTTATTTCCTGGTCAGTTTAAATTAATGTTTTCAGATCCAGATATTTCTCCAAATAAACAACATCCTTTATTGATTTGTCGTGAAGATAAACAAAAAATTATAATTGTTGTATTTCGTGCAACTGTTTCATCAAAGTCTCTTCAAGATGTTTTTACAGATATTAGTATCCATTCAAATCATCAAATTTATCTTGGTGATCGACATTCGGGATTTTCGAAACGAGCTGAATCAGGTCCATTGCTTGCTGTTACAAATTGGCTACGTCGAGGATGGAAAATAATTATTACAGGACATTCTCTTGGTGGTGCTGTCAGTCAATTGTTTACTGCACAAGTAATTAGCAACCTTGTTGAAGCTGGTTTATTACCCGAAATGGTTTCATTACGTTGCATTACCTTTGGAACACCTCAATGTGCTGATTATCATTTTTGGAGCAGTTATACAAAATGGTATGATGTTTTTGATACATATATATACGAACATGATGCCATTTTTCGTTTGGCCTCTTTTGGAACTAAGTTTATAAAAGAAGTAACTGATTCATTTGTTGATTATCTTGGGAAGATTGGACTACAAATATGTAATCATGTCATTCAATATAGAAATCAAGATCTAACGAATGTTCTTGGAAATGCTAGTGATCAAATTTATCCATTCGCTAGTGATATGCTATTTCCGACCTATTCTATATTTGGTCGTCATCATTTTATTCGTAAAGATGAAAATAGTGAACTTAAAATTGATACTATTGGTGAAAAAGAAAAAGAAAAAGAACGATTATTAAAAGATTTGAGTGCAGGACATCGTTGGTACAATTATTTTATTGAAGAAAAATTGATTCCTAATCAATTAAAATTTATTTTTCGCGAATTTATGGAACATGGATGTTATCCGTTCAGTATTAATCAAATGTTTAATAAAGAAGCTACGCTACTTTTAAGTACAAGCATATCAGAAAAACAGGAATTACTTCGAATACAAGAAGATCAAAAGAAGTCTAATTGGACGTCTGATTCGATTCCTCATTTGAGTGCTATGATGAATTATAATGTTGTAAATAGTTTATCTCGTATTCACTTTCAAGGATTTTTGGTAGATTTTATCATATCTGTCGAATTACCAATTGAATTGATAAAACCTGGACAGACAAATATAAAAAAACCAATTTTATCTCAAGATAAACCAGATGAATGTTCAATTTCATGTTTCAATTCCTATTTGTCTATGAATTTTCTTAAAACAAAATGTTGGTTTGAAGTTAAGGTAAAAACTTATTTCGGTCAATTTAATGTACAAGTAGTAATTATAGCTAATTTTGATGCAACAATACCTTCAGTTTATCAACTTGATCCAATATCAACTATATTTCGAGCTTTTGTTGAATTCATATTGGATGCAAATTCTTTTGAACATATTGATTCATCATTGACTCATTGTTTTTCTTCATTTCTCAGTACACTTGAGAGAATCGACTCAAACAAATTTGATACTTTACTAGCTCGATATTCTGCTGAAATGCAATCTCGTAATTTATCTACTGAAATTGACAAAGAACTACAAAATTTGCCTTTACCGAAAAGAACCGATAAATTGGAAACTTATTTTAAACCAAAGTTGGCTTCATTAAAAAAACTAGCTGAAGAAAATAAAAATTCTGAAAAAGGAGAACATGCTTTGTATATCTATAATGCTTTAAAGTACGAAATTGATGGTCAAAATAAACAATCATCAATTAATAACAACGATTCGACCATAGATTATAAGTTAGTACCTTTATATTTGAAATTTAGTCAGCTTCAGAACTATTTGAATATCTTACATGAAGATCCTGGAATTGATAGTGTTAGAGAAAATCTTAAAGTTTTAATGGCATCCATTTTCTATGTTATGATTAAACTAAGACGATTGGAATCTATTGAACTTATTCCAGTCATTGAAAAACTAAATGTAGATTTGTTAGAATGCTACATATTATTAAGAATTGCAGATATTCTAGATGTGAAAGATTGGGCAGTAGGAGTTGTTATGGGTCTTTGTGCCATGAAGACTACCGTACATTGTGTTGTACCTGATTACAGAAAATGTATACAATCATTATTAAAAGTTGCTGTTGCACTACTGAAATCAACCGGTGAAAACATTGATAAAGATACAAGTGAATGGAATATATTAAATCGAATAGCCGAATGTCAATGGTCACACACACTAATACAAGCAAAATTGTCTCAACAATTAGACAGCGTTTGGGATAAAATAATTGAAAAACAACCATTAAAATGTATTCCTCATGAAAATCGATGTCACATCATCGATGTTATTGAAATTTGTTGTCAATTGTGTAACATGAGAGAAATATTGGCTGGAAAACCACCAAAAGTTGTTATAACAGGTCTATCACAAACAGGAAAATCAACATTATTTCAATATCTTACAGGACGAGAATTAAGAGAAATTTCCGATATAAGTAATTTCAATACTCGAATATCAGTTCAATCTCAAGCTTTTATTAAATTAAATGATAATACTACTGCTGATGATTTAGTACTACCAATTGATCTTGTTGATAGTCCTGGATATGATGATGCAACTGGACAAGCTGAAAATTTATTGGGTATGTCTTTCAATGCGGCTAATCTATTTATCGTCGTTACGACATTAAAAGATATTAATCAAAAACATACAATATCATTATTAAATAAAATTTTATATTCTACAAAAGTCAAAATATTAGTTTTAATTAATCAAGTTGATATTCGATTGATGGAAAAATGGCAAGAAGTTAAAAGGCAAGAAGTTAGAAGGAGATCATCTTACAAAAAGAAAGATAGTGACGATGATTCAGATATCGATGAAACAAACCAAGAATTTAATCGATGTCAAATATTAGATCAAATGATTGAACGTCCTCGAAAAGAATTAATTCAAGGATTAATGATTGCTGCAGAAGTAATCAAAACTCGTGTAACATTTCAAAAAGTTATTTTAAAAGGTTTTAATGACTTTGACAAGATATTTATAAGATATAATAATCAATATAAAAATGATGGCTTTCGTGATAAAGTACACAAATCAAATGTTCAAAAATGGATTAAACAAAATCTAATTAACTCAATAAGTTCTCATCAATCTTCATAAATTATCATAAATTGGCTGCAAATCGATTTAGTTTTAAGCGATTTTTTAAACTCTTGCTTTTTAGAGGGTTAATATTGATGTATTCTATTTTTAACTATTTCCTTTCTTATAATTACTATATACATACAAATCTAAAAAAAGTTTATCAAAACTCACCATTAGCATAATGAATTGTAATATCCATTAGCTATTACTATTTCAGATGCTCATCTAGAGTATGGATGTGATTTTTTTTTCAACAATTACCAACACCCTAAGTACTATATTATCTTTATTCCTACCGGTTACCAGAGTCCCATTTACTATTGGTCAAGAGAGGATAAGCTAAATTTTTGATTTACATGATTGACAATGATAATTCATGACTGAACAACAGGAAAATATAGTAACTTTACACATAAACGCTGACTACAAAACTTAAGTACATAAATTACAAAAAACAAAGTAAAATGTTGCCATATTCAAGGAGAAAACTAAGCGCAGATAAGGTCTATTTTATTTGTTAGTCAGAACATGTTCTAAAATGATTTGAAGACAAAGTAAACTTGTCGTTTGAAATAAGTCAAACAGTTGTCTGTTTATGTATTAATCTTTTTGTACCACTAATCTTACCGATTAAGTACAAATTAGACAAAGTTTGATTAAAGACGATCAGATGAACAATCCTCGTCACCACTATGACTAATAAACTTTGCATTATCTGAGTAATGCTCAATAGTATCCATGTCTACACAGCTTCTGTGCTTGTATTCAAGTCGAAGTCTGAATTGTGTTTCTTGAGTAACGTAAGTCTGAGTGTAAGGCATACTGGATTGGTTGTGGTGGGATGTAGTAGATGTGGGTGTGGTGAACAAACGATGAATATTCATGCTCATTAACAGTCTAATACGTTCATTCTGACTGTCAGATCTAGACCCACAATATACACCAACAGTCTGAGATATTAACGGTGTGTCTAAGGTTTTTATGAAAAGATGGAAATGAAGTAGCAACAATGGCAGAAAGAGATATTTACGAGGATCCCAAAACTTTGTCAATTATATACGAAATTTCAGTGGACACTTGTCGATTGGCAAACTTCGAAGCAATACATTGGTGATAGTCCACAGAATCTTCAACTATTGGTGCAAATACTGAAGGACTCACTGACGAAAATCGAAGAGATTTTAACTCATGAAGTTAAACATTCATATTGTAAGTGATATAAACTCTTCTCCATAGAATAAAACCCCACTAGACTTTTATTTCATTTCAAAAATTATAAGGTTGAAGGTGGTCCTACACAAGCTTCAACTTTTTTTTATCTACTAAACCAAAACTTGAAAAAAGCTATTATTGAGAGAAGCTCACTAATGATATAGGGAACATAAAAATGCGAATTCACACTCATATGTTCTGAAGTGAAAAGTCTAGATTGGAGTAGAAGGATATGTAAATCGAAGAGTCTTTGAATATTTTCGAAAAGCCTTTAGAGATTATGGATTCGATTCCGTTCACTCCTTTGCTTGAAATATTCCTTCATGGATAACAAAGTATGATGCAAAACACAATAGTGTTGCTTTAAATTGAAGTTGTGTATATATCAAGGTGCAGTATGAAGCTAATTGATCGAAGATAGAAGTTATTTTCATGGAAGAAAATTAGATTAAGGATTATGCGATTATTTGATTTCGAATGCTGAAGGTTATGACCAAATTACTCTAACTTCGGATCTGTTCATGTGTGCATTCTTGAAACCCATCTCTACTGATCTACAAAAAGTAAAAAATCACAATTTTCAAGAATTCGGTCTCAGAAAAATACCGCTCTAGATGATGACATAGAAATATTTTTTTATGTCTTTTAAAGATTTTATTGATTCATATGATACCTCGAATAAACTAATTTAAAACTGATTTATAGGATGTGTTTATTTCGTCATACGAAATGCTCTTTTCTCATTTTTCTAAAATAAAATTCTCGTGCGTTGTTAATTTCTCTTTGTGTTGGAAGTCATTTGATGAAGTTCTACTCAAATGGTCTTTCATTCAGTGTGACCTATTATTTTATGTGAGAAGGTTACAAACACTATGCCTAACATTATAGAAATGTATGTGAACTAATACAGTTGATTTGAATCTTGTTATTTAATACTACTGCCCTATTGGAACTCTAGAAAGTTCATTGAAAATTCACTCATTGGCAGAAGTATAGGGAATTAATTGGCGAAAGACCACTGCAAATTCATCAAAGGCTAAAATTCAATTTGGGTAATTCTTTTTGGTGAACTTTCAGTAATCCGATTTTTTCGCTCTGCCTTGTTTCACATGAACTTATGAGCATACGACTAGGAAAAAGAAAAATATTCACTTCGATTGAATATCAATCGCCCACTGTCCATCATAGTTATCCTGGACTTCAGGAGTACATGATGATTTAATTCTTTCTGCACTGATAATTATTATGAAAAGTAAATGATGATGAGCCTTGCTCTCCTCAATAAAGATCATTTTATTCTGAACAACACTCATATTTACTATTGATTAATAGTGATTGACAATGGTTGCTTTGATTGCAATCATCTTTTTTCTCCCTTGGATGTGGGTGCGAGATGTGGGCGTGAGTATGAATGTTGAGTGTGAATGTGAGTCTGGGTGGTGTCGATGTGTATGTGAATCTGTTTCTACCACGTCCACACCCACACCTTCATTAAAATATGAGAGAAATCGCTTATTCACTGGTCTGATTCCATAAAGAAACCAAAACTTTTTTCTTTTCCATTGATTAAAGCTTACAATCAATCATACACATTCATTTTCAGAAAGAGACTCAACCGATTCGAACCAAAAATAAATATATCTTCACTAAAATACTGAATTCATATGTAAACAACACGGTTAACTGTTAGTTCATCTTGAGGGCGGGTGTAGATGTCAGATGCGCGTGAGATGGGTGTGGCTATGAGTGTGGTTATGCTTTTAACTCACAACCACAGGCCCACACCTATAAAATTTAAAAACTGATTAGATTTGAAGTGCGCAGTCGAACCGATAGGTGCCAATATTTCCAACACCTTCAATCAGAAGATATTCCCTGTACACATGCACCGTAACAAAAGCGTTCGTATTTGGTTCACTTTCGACAATCGCAGGTAACGTTAAATGATGGATATTTTTATGATCACAATAGTAACCACATGCATGATCGTGCCCAGCAATGTAAGCAACAACTGTCATGTCGAATTTCTAGAAAACTTTCAAGACTTCTTCGTCATTCCATACAAGAGGGAGACCATTAGTGACGATTGGATGAGTTGGAATGTGACCTTGAATGAGAAAGAAAAAGTTGTGGTTCTTCTCTTTGAGATATAATAAGTGCATTCAAAATTTTGAAAGATCCTCTACTTTGTATGTATCTTCACAGGAATATCTCATATAATACCAAACTTATAAAAGATACAAGATTGGACTTTCTATAAAAATAGAAGCAAATAAGTCCTTTTGACTTATTTGAACGATTTTTCATGAGACTGACAGTGAATTATTTATGGTAGTGCCATATTCTATTACTAGCAAGTCAAAAAAAAGCAAAGAAATATTGACGAAATGATATATATCGCGGCACAAAGAAACCATAGAATCGTGAGTTATTTTCAAAAATTGCGTTCCTGAATTCTTTACAATATTAGACGGAAAACGTTCTCTTGAATTGTTCTGGTGGATTTTTAGATGATGAATAATGAAGATCCTTACGATGTCGCTGTTTTTCAATTTTAATGATATAACCGAATTGGTCTTATGCCTGCACGCATATAGAGAAGAAGTAGACGAATTGAGAGAAAAAAACAATTATTCAATTCATATAGGTTATTTTTAACTTTATGAGACATCATAAGAACAAATAAACGAAATCTTTTACTTAAAACGTTGCAGAAAAGCTAATGGTGCATCTGTTTTGTAAACAAAATACAAGTTTTTATGATCCGTTTGAGCAGAGACCAATGCAATGTAATCAACGGTACTTTGATTTTTGTTGGCGTCAGAATAATGGAATGTACCATAACCGAGCTATCGTTCACTTTCAACCTCATAGAAACTCATCTAAACAAGTCAATTGATTTTTTTTGTTTCTATTTTAGGAGAGAATTTGACGGCGAACGTTTACAAAATACATATTCTTTGATTTATTCCTATTGACAAGAGAACCTCTCGATGTGTCCTATTACTTTTGAGCTAATATTTCGCGCATAGTTAAGTGGGCATGAATCTTCGTTCTTAAGGTATTGAGTTTTTACAACGTCTTTCCATGAACACCTGTGGGACCTTCAGTTCACCTTGCAAATGAGTTCTCGATTTTTGGCTTGAAACATTTCATGGTGGACGCCTTTGACGAGACTAGCCTATGACTTAGTTTTCGTACTTTTCAATTGCCTTTATTACCAGATAGGTGAATAAGACTAAAATATGTTTTTGCCCACATTCGATTTTGCAATATTCACACATGATGATACAAATAACTGGAAGGTGTGAAATCTCCGCCATGAACTACCCAACAAGTCAAAAGTTATGGAAAATGCGGTTCAGGCTTAAAAGAAAACTCCGATTGTGAGCCATTAATGCTTATTTACAAAATGCAACAAACCCTTTGTGAACAACAGCGAAAAACTCTTGTCTTTGAACGTTAAAGCGCATTTTTATAAATTTTCGTTTGCTTGAATAGTGTTTTTGAAGACTTCAGTTGTTCAAAACTCTCGAGTCAAAACTCAAAAGTTGCTGAAAAACGTGATTCAACCAAGATGACATAGATCTGCTTAAAAATATAGTCAAACTTAATATCAAAAGAAGAAGATTCCACGTGTGCGATTTCTCTTAGGATTATTCTAGTCTCACAATCATCTACCTGCGCGAAAAATAGAAACTGCAAAGCGATGGCTCACCTCCAGCAGTTCTCTCATGAGATATATGCAAAATATGCGACAGTGCAAACATTTTGATGCACTCAAGAGCAAACACAATGATAGG